ATAGGTAGAAGATATGTATTATGGGAGAGGCACCACCTCTTTATATAGAGGTGGTATTACCTGTTTCCTGAAACCTAGTCGTATTAGGTTTAGGCGGTAACTTAATCTCCAAGTAACCTAATTTTAGGCCCAATAGGCCTAGGGTTAATTTATGACTCGTCAAAAGATTTGTGGTCACTCATGGGAGTTGTTACTAGACAAACAAAGCATTATTAAGAGTTGGGCTACCAAATACTGCTTGGATTTTACTGATATTGGAATCTCCGATCTCGATTGATGACAGCATGATTTAATATTTTAACCTTTAGTCATGACGATGTTTTAGTTTTGTTACTTTGAGGAGGAAAATTATAAATACATAAACACTGTAAAAGCGCATGTGAAAAAAGAGGGGCAAATCAGCACTTCTAACAGACAATAAGCTTTGTACAAAAACAAACAAATAAATAAATGAATAAAAATCCAAGAAATGACAAGTTTGAATTCGAATTACCGATATAGGCTTTAAGTGTAGAAACTCAAGGGGCGATGTGGACAAATTATAATAATGTTGGAGACATTTTTGGTAACAATGGTAATTAAATATGTTGCCATCTCATCCTCAATTATTTACACAAACAAAAAAATAAAAAAAAAGGAGAAAAAACCCCAAGCTTTATAGTCCAACTAAAGGCCGAAGGTAAGCCCCAGAAAACAGCCCAGTCTCAAACTCATTAAGCCCAAATTAAATATGAACCAAAATTCAGCACCCGGAGATGAACGGAAAGAACCAAACCAAATTGGTTGTGGTGGAGTGTCCACCCTTAATCATAGGTTGAGGGTTCGAACCTCGCCATGAGAATGGAGTAACTTTAAATACTTTAGTCAGCTCTCCCATCCATCGAGGTGCTTACAATTTAACGAGCGGGATTAGTCAGGATTAGTCACTGTTGCAAATGCAAGTATATGAATTGTAAGTAAATGCGAATTTATTATGAGACCCAAATGCAATTCTGTCCTTTTGCTTCCAGAAAAGAACGGCGTATTCATTGGTGAAGACAAGGTAATTAGGACACTTAAATTTTTTACCGAAACGCGCGCGCGCGCACACACACATAACCTTGGGGAAAGTCGCATCAATTATAAAGTTATTTTGATGTGTCGGCTTGTGAATTTAATCCAGGGAGCTGCGGGTTGGATTTACCGAAAAAGGTAAATATTAGAGTACACTTTTAGTTATTCAATATGGATATTAATTAGTACCTGATAATGGAGAGATTAAGTTCTTAATTGAAATAATTCCAGTATATTATTAAGTGGCTCGGATTCTTGTATAGGTATTGATGATGCAGATGATAACTCAGCCACACATTGGAATTCATTTTATGATCAAAACAGGGCAGGCGGTAAGACTTCGCCGGATTTCGTCATACGGGCTTGAAATATCTCATGATTCCGATAAAAAGAATACACATATTTATTTATTTATGGTTTAAATCATTCTTAGTTGCTACTAGTATTATAACACGACCTCACTAAATATCAACATTTTGGTCATACGGTAATACATACAAGGAAGGAGTGTTGAAGTATTTATCCCACATTGGTGTCTGGAGACACTTTGTATCAGTATATAAGCACCATAGGCTATTCTCCTCATTGCCAATTGGTTTTGAAGTGGAACCCTATGGGTTTCTATATGGTATCAGAGCGGGCTCGGCCTGTGGTGATTTTAAGTCCACGATGTTATTCTGTGGCTCAATTTAAGTCCGCGACATTATTCCGCGGCCGTGATGTTATTCCATGGTTTATTTCCTGATCGTGGTGCTTGAGGGGGAGTGTTGAAGTATTTATCCCACATTGGTGTCTGGAGAGATTCTAGCTAGACAACAAATAATTTAATTATGTTTTAATAATGGATTGTATTCACCGAACGAATTCTATATTCATCTTGTTTTTCCCTTATAATATTACATCCGAGTTTACTTATATTTTGTTTTTTCTTCGATCTTTCTGGCCGAATTATTGAACTCCGAATTTTCTCCTTAAAAAATTGACATATATCCACCATGAATACTCAACTATGGTGAATCGATATTTTTGTCCCAATTTTGGAGGAAACTACATTTTTTTTCATATTGCAGGGTGTCAACCGTCAACAATAGTGGCTAATTCCCCTCGCTTATGGTAGGAGGAGAACATGTCAAACATTTAAGGTTGCTCCATGCCCACGGCGAGGTTTGAACCTTTGACCTATGATTAAAGGTAGAGAAGTCCTTACCAGTCGAGGAAACTATTTTGAACTGTTTCATTTTAATCTCACCGTTTGGTCATTTGTTTTGTCAGGTACAGGGAAATTAAAATGAATTAGGGATAAATTCCGGGACCGGAATTGAGAGAAGAACAGGCAAAATTGGCCGGAGGAAGATGAACAGAAGAACAAGAATTAGGGGGAGGAGTTTGAGAGAGAAAACAGATTTCAGACTTCAATCAATATTCATTCGATAATCTCCTGTAAAAATGATTACAAGGCTTTATAGCCATTTGCCTAAAATGGTAAAATAAACTAATTAGTAAATCTAGTCCCAAACTATGTTAAAATATCAATTTAACCCCAGTATGTGACATGTTTCGTGTTAGTCCGTTAAGTGTTGTCTAAAAGATACTTTTCGTGGCACTTTGGATTTTCTTGATGGGCTTGTTACCTTTTCAGCCCAAAATTAAAAATAGGCCAGCTGTGATTTTGTTATGGGCTTAGGCTTATTTCATAAGCAGTTTGCAAAGTCGGAAGATCGATCTTAGAGACAATGTTCACGCGGTGACTTCTTCTTCTCTCTTTTTTTTTAAAAAAAAAAACAATTATTTTTGTATTCTTATTAATTGTACATTTCTTTAAAAATTAGTACTCCCCATATCCCAAACAAAAACAATCCACATTTATTTTTTAAAAAAAATTGGATGGTTTCAGTGAGAATCGAACCCTCGATCTCCCGGTAATAACCATCCCCATCCTAATCCCCTAACCACCCCAAACAATCCACATTATAATTTATAAAACATACTAAATTTATAGCCTGCAATGTGGGTTATTTTCCTAAGACAGATGGATCATGATTTTTTGTTTCATTTTAGTATTTTGTATATAAAATTTCAGATATAGTTTCAAACCCAAACTCAAAGCAAGATTGGAATTTAAAATGTTGTCCACACTTCAAAAGTCACTAGGCAATGGTGTTACTTGATTTAACTGAGAATAAAATCACGCATTACTCGAAAAATGTCACTGAGCCTTCATTTTTTGTTTTTCATCCGTCCACTTGTTCAAGGGATTCAATTTTCAGTTCAACTACCTAAAAACTTTTTTTGGTGGTTTATTCTGAATAGTAGTAGTTCAACGACGAATTTTACTCATTTTTCACAAGCCATGGTTTTACTTGTTTTGCAGAAAACGTGTTACTCACCAAAAATGACACTGGGAACAAAACAAACTACTATTGCTTAAGTTTACCGAAGAAGGAGTATTTCATTTTTTTTTTTTAAGCGTTGAATAAAATACTACTATCAAACCATAGTCCTCAATGGAACCATTATCAAATATCAATCTGAAACGCATGATTGATGACAGTACAGATGTATTAAACTATTATTAAATGGCTTAATTAATCATTGGATTATTGGATCCTAGTCATTCCTACCATATTGTGTCCACTTGAATGCTTCCATTATTGTATATTATTAGTCTTTCAACTGTTAGGAAATTGAGAATCTACTCGATCGTCATTTGATTTTATTATAAAGTTGACCATTGCACACCACTTGATCCAAACATAAAAATAAAAAACTACTACTATATACTCCTACCTCTGTCCCAAAAAAAATTCCACATTGAGTTTTCAAATTTGTACTAAAAATAATGCAAAACTTAAAACTCAACGTGGACTATTTTTTTGGAACGGATGGAGTATTTCAAATTCCAATTATGCGGAAAAAAACCATTCACAATTTTTTTTTAGAGTTCCATTCATCATGCACCAAGGGTGAAGAACCGAAGAAGGATAGAATTTGTCACATGGTGTGAGTAGCAAAAACGAGAGTAAATAGAACAAACTAAATTTTTTAAAGGAAATTTAAAATTTTCAATAGTACTCGAAAGCAACTTGCCTAGGAGTCTTTGTGTGTGTTATGATCGATTTTCAATGGATTTCAGTGTATGTACTTATCACTTGATCATGAAGAACAAAATGAAGCACTAACGTTAATTCTATCAAATCCAAATCGGCCACTCGGCCACTGTCAATATGATATCACCAAATCTATAATTAGGCATCCATCACCATTCACCAAAATACGTGGAATTCAGATTAGGCCTGCATTTCTCTCTTTTTCCTCTTCTGTGGGCTTGGTTTTCCTAACCCCATGCGCTCTCGGTTGACTACCCATCATAACCTTCAAGAGGAAAAAATTACCCAAATTTTTTTTTTTTTGTTTTTTCTTATACAATTACCCGAACTAGTACGTGTCCCACGCAAAGCGAAGATTTGTCAATGTTGAAAACTTATCTTTCAAAAAAATTAATGAAAGAATTTTTGAAATCAAGGATTTCTCATCAATTCTCAAAAATATTCATTTTTAAGCTCATAATTAGGAATTTGTAATATCTGTAAAATCTTATATAGTAAATAATTTATTAATTATTTATATAAAATTTTAACTGATTAATAATCAACCAATTAACAAATTACACGTATTAATTAAGGCTTTATGGTCTCAATGAACGACATGTGACGATTATCTTTCTTTCCTTTAATATATATATATATATATATATATATATATATAATGATATTAGATATTCTTTCATTCTTCATATACAAAATAAGTTTCCATTTCATAATAAGAATCACTTCAATTATTATACTAAAAAAAGAAGGTTTTATGAATGAAGACTCTTGTCAACAAGAGGTAAAGTAATACTTTTTCTGAAACGAACAGAAAAACAAACAGAATCGTGATAATATTTCTCTTCCTGGATATACAAACAAATGGCAAACAGCAGAGGAACTCCACTCAACTGGCAAGAATATTTATTACAAGTAAAGAAACCAACCAGACAGACAATCAGACGCCGAAAAGCCGAAAACCCCCCCAAAAAAACAGAAGACTTCTCTCTGTTTCCATTATTCTGATGACGCGTTACAAGACACGCAAGCTTCCAAACCCGATATTATTAAAAATTCAATCAAATAGAGTAGAACAATATTAGAAGAAAGAAAAGTTTTTGCCCTGTTCTTAAGAGTCAAAATAAAGCCAACTTCTCATCCCAAGTTCAAATCTTTTTAACTTCAGCGAATATCTTCCCCTGTTCTGTCTCCATCTTTGCCGCCTTCTCTGCTATTTGGTTCTTTCTTTTTTATCCCCTTCAATCTGGCTCTTGTAATAATTCAAGAGTCTCCAACTGGCGCTTCGGCAAAACCGATATTGAGAGTTCTCCTCCGTCTTGTTTAAATTTATGCCCGTAATATTCACACCAACTACAAGAAAGCTTGGCATCATTACTGGAAAGAATCACCATGAATGGAAAAGCAAGCGTGTCCAAAGAACTCAATGCAAAGCACGTCAAGGTACTTTCTTAACCCGTTTTAATTTGCTCAAAAACGATTGAAATCTTGTGGGTATGTAGTTTTTGATTGTGACATTTATATACGTGGTAGACTAGTAGTAGTATTACTGATAAAGCTGAAATCTTTAGTTTTGGAGATTTTCTTGATATTGCAATCCCATTGAACAAGTGCTTCACATCCTGGTTTTGTTTGAATCCCTTTTCCGGTTTATACATCTTCTTCTAACAATTTCAAGTTGTATAATACTTTTTCCCTTTTAAAGGCATTATCTTTTTACCTTTAAAGTTAAGCGCACAACATTGCTTGATTACTTGTATGATTGATTTGGAGTTTTGGAATCTGTTGAAAATTATCAAGTTATTCTCGACTTTCGACACGGAGTTGTCTTTTCTGGTTATTGTGCTTACTGAAAAAGAATTGCTTTGGGTCCTAATTCATTGTCTACCTAATCTTAGTTTTTGCTTTTAGAATTGTAAGATTTTCATTCTTGATTGAATTTCCAGAATGTCAATTTATCATTGGACTGATCACTTCTCGTGTTGTATAACTTTGTTTGTGAGAAGTTATGATTATCTTTGCCCTGAATTGAGTATGTTTTGTTCCCTCTTATGTTTCTGCAATAACAATTGATATTACCAAATTTGTTATGTTCCTGTTTTCTACTAATAATTACCTATCCGCAATTATGAGCGTCTGCTTGGTTTTGATTCTGTTTGATCACTCAAATTAGCTGTCCAAGCTTATCTTTCAGTTAAGTTTGGGCCCCACATTGTAGGTTGGGAGTTGGAACTCGGTATTATTCCAATAGCATAAACTGCTTTTGTCATCATACTCAATCATGGAACCATAATTTGTGAAAGTAGTTAGAGGTTGACATGCTTGATTTTAGAGGATCAAAGCATCAAATTAAATTTTTATAGTTAATTTATGAACCTCCTGCACATTTCACTTTACTCCATTAATCAAATCTAGAAGAAGTTTGACAGACCTAGATTAGTTGTACTAAAATATGCCAGTGCACTTGCTTAAAAGCAAAACTTGAAACAAAACTTGCAAATTGAGGATAAGGAAATTAACATTAATCAGTTTGAGTTTATTGTCATGAACTGTCGTGGGGGTGTGAAAAAAAAACGTTTTGATCAATGTCAGTTAGGATAGTGGTTTCCAGGAGAAAGACAAAAAAATGAGGTAGAATGATTCGAGCTTTTGATTGCATGGTTTCATTGTGTTCGAAAGTAGGATAGGTATAAGATTACGGATATTTATAGTATTGACTACAATTCATCCTTGTACCCCTGCCGATATTGTGTTTGGGGACCTAGATTAGATCAGCTTTGATGCTCATGATTCAGGAATAGAATAGTCCTTTTTTTTTGTGGGTGTCCTGACTTCTGACCACCAATTTCTTTGGCTCTAAGGCATTTAAATTTTTGTATTGTTCAAATATGCAGAAAGCACATTTACCATCTACTTTATTAAGTAATGGAATGCTTAATACTTTCTTTGGCTGTAATGCTTAATACTTTTTTTGTCTGGTTTCATTGAGTAATGGAATGGTTTATTTGTCCTTTTGGCAGATTCTTGAGGGACTTCTGAAACTGCCAGAGAACCGAGATTGTGCTGATTGCAAAAGCAAGTAAGTTTCTTGGGGTAGTATCGTATGCAGTTAGTTTTTGTTTGAGGTCCTTTGATTGCTAAGATAGTAACCTATTCAGTTAGGTTTTTTTTGGAGGTACTTTGATTTCTAAGTTTCCATTCATTCTCTCTGATTTTCTGTTGTTTGATGTTTGTATAAAGGGGTCCAAGATGGGCTAGTGTGAATCTGGGTGTATTCATATGTTTACAATGTTCTGGGATCCATAGAAGCCTTGGAGTTCACATATCAAAGGTTAGTTTATCAATACTTGTGAGGTGTATTTGGTCCAAATTGCTTGCGTTTTTGCCTCAGCTTGTAGTTACTTACTTGGTATGGAATGAGACTAGGATGGTTGCTGTAACTTTTGATTCAGCATCTGTACAGATGCAGAGCATTGTTCACCGAGTTTTTTTTATCAATCTGCTGCATTTTTGTGCTTAATCTGCTGATACTAGTACCGACATTGTTCCCGTATAATTGCTGAACTTGATGCAGGTGAGATCTGCCACTCTTGATACATGGCTTCCGGATCAAGTTGAATTCATTAAATGTGAGCCTAACTTAATTTTCACCTCAGCATTCATGATTGTTTAGGTTTTAATGTTGGCCTCATTTTATTTGTGCTTCTTTCTAGCCATGGGAAATGAGAAGTCAAATAGCTACTGGGAAGCTGAACTGCCTCCAAGATATGATAGAGTTGGCATTGAAAATTTCATCCGTGCAAAGTATGACGTTGCTCGATTGGTACATGAGCCTACTAGGATTCATATTAACTTGGTTCACTTGTCAGGTTATATATTGATGTTGGAATTCCTTTAATGGTTTTACGCTTATTCTCCCTGTTATGCGTCAGATATGTTGAAAAAAGATGGATCCCGCGAGATGTAAAAGGGAAATCGTCTGCACCTGTGAGAGAAGAGAGAATCCCAGATGCCAAGCCTGTTCCAGAAATTAGAAGTGCTGGATATGCCAAGCGTAGTGACCCCCCAGCCTTGCTGAATGGCAGCAACTTTGTTGTTCCTAAACTGCCTAAACCGATCAATACAACAAACGTACAGCAGGTGTGGTTTTGACTATATTTGTTCACGAATAGAATAATGTATTAGAGTTATTGTTTTGCAGCAATACTCTTTCCACAGATGTTTTAGAATCTGAATATCATTTCTATGGTCCTGCCTTGTGATATGGGACAGGTTGCTTCGGCTGTCAAGCTGCATGAAGTCCACCAGAAATCACAGCCACCAGACTTCGAGTTGAAGGAAGAAAAACAGGGTGAAATGGCCATCCAATTGGAGTCTGCATCTAAGGTTAATTATGCCACTGATGTTTCTAATAAGCTTCCCAGAGAGGAAACTAAACAGAATAACTCTGGAGTGTCTAATACTGAGAAACAGCAAAAGGAGCGTGTATATCCTGATAAAGCGGGTCTGCCTGGTATGTTCTTCTCCAGAGGTGAAATCGGAAATATCCAATCTATTCCTCTGTATTTGCTGATTATTAAACTCTGGGGAAACGTTTGGGTGGGGGAATGAAATCTGAACCCTGAATGTATTTAAAGGTGTTAAATCGATCTTTTTATACATCCATTACTGATTTATTTGATATGACCTGTAGCTGCTGAAACTCCACCAACAATGGACTCCAAAGTTGTGACTCCCATGACCGAAAACAGGAGCAAGTTTGACTCTGGGATTGAGGAACTCCTTAGAGATTTTCAGTGGAATACCCCAGCCATAGTAGGGAAACCTGTTGAAGATGCCAAAAATGATATCACAGAAAAGGTCTGTGCATCTCTTGAACAGTCACGAAATTTATCTCATAAGAATGTTACAAGCTACTTTCATTTAAAACTGCCAGTTATTTGAGCCTCATCTTTGAAATCCAAACAACTTTAGATTGAAAAAATTTGCAATAGTATCTTTCAGTAAACTGTCATTGAACCAGAAACTTTCTGGATCTTACCTTAAAATTTTTTGTGATCATTTGTAAATCTTATTAAGATGAGGTGCTGTTATTTTTACAGCCTACTGTGGAAGTGTTTCATCCGGTACAACCACCACCTCCTGCAAAGCTAGCTGAACAAAGGCATATTCACACAGCTGCTACCCAAAGGCCTTCGTATGTGTCTCAGTCTCCTTCAGTCAGTATGAATCAAGCCAATGTCAATATCCAAAACTGGGGAAGAATTAATAGTCCAACACCCAGAAGAATGGTTCAACAGGTTTGGCTTTTTTGAACATCCTCTTAAATGGCAAAATTTAAAATTAGCATCTTCTAATTTTGTTTTTCATCTTCTTCTCTAAGACGGGAAGCACTCGGCCTCTGAATACTCCCGCAGCTTCGACCGGCCTCACTTCAAGGTATGTCAAATATGTCTGTGATCACACAATCAAGTCCAGCCATCAAAGACTGAAAAAAAATAATAAAATCCAATGACATACACATGGTTTCATGGTGTGTTGCCAATTATTCCTAAGCTACCCAGGAAATGGTTTTGCAGTATTGCTGTAGAGGACTGATTTGGGGTAATTATTATAGTTGATGGGAAGCTACCCATATTTTGTGTCAGCCTGTTTCAAAACTGAAAATATTCTTGTTTTACTTCTTTCCAGCATGTACAACAGGCAGCCAATGTCGACTCCGATAGGTGGAATATCTGCTACAGTGGGCAGGCCTTACCCGATTGTGAATAAACCGCAGGTTGTTTCACCTCCATCTGGCCAAGATTATGACTTCTCATTCTTAGTGCAGGGAATGTACACAAAACGGTGAACCATTACTTCAATTCATTTGTACATTTTTAGCATGCGTAACTCTGTAGCTGCAGTAAATTCAGCGATTCATTTTATCCACAGTGAACTACAATTTTTTCATTGAGCTATTCATTATCACTGTTGTACATAACTCGGACAGGTACATTTCGTCTGTCAGCTTTTGGTACTTGTGAGTTATGAACTGTACTGATGAATGTGGATCTCCGTTTATGTGGTGTGAAGTTGCAAGATGTTTGTATTAATCGGTGCTTCTTCGAGCAATATTTCTAAATGGGTATTCTAGAAGACTAGAACTGTGGTGGATGATTGACGGATGAAATTTTGCAGCAGTAGTTTAAAGGAATGCAATTAGTGATTCTCTCTCCTTTTTTTTGTTGTTGTTGATGCTTGGAATTTGGAATTACCTTGAAGCTATGAAGTAGTGTAAAGAACTACATGCAAAAAGAGGGAAAGGAAGCGATTCCATAAAAGGGTCGGAACCTGATAGAATGACTATATAGGTTGGGCCATAAGGGCCCATGATCAATTATGCAACCCATTCAAACGATATGGGCCTCTTGGCAAGTTGTGACTTCAATATTCTCTTTATTTAGCACGTCTTCTGGTTCATTTTTGGAGGAGTGACTTTATATTTTACTCATTTCGTTTAGAATAATAATTGTAAAAAATTTGAGTGTAAGATGGAGTGAGAGTGTTAAGTTCAATTATCTGGAATATTACAGCTTACAAATCTCGTGGAGTCTCAATTTTTTCCAACAGTTGAGTAGTAGAAAGTCAAAACTCAGACACATAAATACCTTCTGGATGTGGAGTGATCTTAGTCCTTTTATGCGTTAGGAATTTAAAAAAATGTACTCTTTTTATCTTAGAATGATGGTTCTGAATAATAAATAATAAGTACTCTCTCCGGTCTTTAATATAAGACATTTTGATTTGTCATATGTTATATACATTTTTTGACAAAAAAACTTTAAAACTACTTCCTAATAATCAAGAGAATACAATGAATGTAAAAATATAGTTTTACTCCCTCTGTCCCAAAATTATTGTCTGGTTTGAGATTTCACATTTAGTATAATTTGAACTAAAAATGAAAACCCAAACAGAATAATAATTATGGGACAAAGGGAGTAACCTTTTTTGTCGATTAAAAATATGTACTATGTCAAATTTATAACAAAATCAAAATGCTTTATATTAAGAACCGGAGAGAGTAAGTTAGAATAGACGGAGGTATACTTCTCCCCCAAAAAAAAAAACACAAAAAAGCAATTGATTTAACCAAAATATGTAGTTGAATGAGGTGATACGAGTGGGTAGAGGCATCACCATCTTACAAGTGTTTTTCATCGACGAGGTTCGAGAAATTAGGCCGGACAATCGATTTATCATGTAGGAATTGTACAAAACACAAACACAATGAAAGGTCATAATCTTAATTAATGTTCTTATTGACAAGCTGCATTCAACAATATATTGCCCGAACATAATTTTCTTTTCTTTTCTTTTTTTTTCCATGAGGTTCACAGATTTTCTGGGGTTTATTAATACTATTATGATTTTATTTTGGTGGAGATGATCTCGACAAGTGTGAGTAACGAACTTATCCAAATCGTACGTATGTTAGTTCGTTGAAACCCGGTAACACCGTTAATTTAGTTCTTTCATCAACCTCGAGATCCCGAAAATAGCAAATCAATGGAGTTGTATTCAACTTCAAGCTCAACAACATAACAATCGCGGTACTTCTTTGTTTTGATATTACGTGTATGAAATTATTGTCCCCAAACATTCAAACTAGATAGGTCCTTTTTATTATAGAAATAAAACTTTATTAAAAAATATTTTTAATCGTTATTGCTAGGCTTATGATCGAGTTCTAGTCCAAATCATAATTAAATTGACCTCATACTTTTATCACGTACCGTATTTTTAACAGAAACGAAATAACAAACCTACGGACCGACTAATATTTACGTAGTACTACTAGGCACTTGGCAGTCTCTTACAAACTTGACGGTGAGAATAACCCCAAAACCTACATTAATTACATTTAACCTTTTTCTGCCGTTAGTGTCAAAACTCCCCCATCCATGACCCTAACCCCCTCCGTTTTCTTCTGTTAGCAAGTGTACGTATCTCTGGTTAACAGATACCACCTAAATCACACATTCACGCCAAGTCCTCCTACTTTAAAATCATATTTTGATTCGCCCCTCAATTAATATTTGCAAACCACAATATAACTAATACTGTGTTTGTCTCGCACAAACATTTTCTAAGCTCATTACAGTTAATTTAATTGAAAATTGTGTTTTGTAAATAAGACTAAGGAATTTTTATAATATTAGTGCCTTTTAGAATATTTATTAGACTGTTTTATTATGTGAACCGGGTTATTTTTTATTGTGTTGATTAAACAAAATGGAATCCCATCTTAAAAGTGGTAATTATGAACTTATCCCAGAAGACTAAGTACGTTATTTATTATGTTCCAAAATGATTGAGCGATTACGAATTATGATTAGCAACCAGAAAATCTTTCAAGGATACTTTAAGAAATAGACAAACCTGAGCGGGTTGTCTCTGTAATTAATTCATCATAAAATGGGGATTATAGAAATAGTATGATTTGCGACCGTGTTAAAATGGAATAGACGGCGAAGTTTAAGTCATAAATGTTTGTCATAAGTAAAAGTATTATGGTCGGTTCAGTTAGATGCATGACATACTCAACTTCCTACAGAGACTTTCGTTTCCTTTTGTTTCAAGGCATGTCTTTTAGTAATAATAATAACGTGCCCTAAAATATCAACTATACTAGTAAAATAGTAAAATGGTGGGAGTAAAAGAGCATTTTAAATGGTTGGGACACTGATATCAAGATGGTCTCGTCAAAACTGAATATTCGGGTGATTCCAGTAAAAAATGATGATTACCCTGCAGGCAATTCATCATTAATTTCCCTAGTGCAAGGTGTCGCCAAATCAAGGGTTCTAGGAATTTTGTGGAATGTACTAAAGCTGCTAGCTAGCTGAGCTGACCGCTATCGAGATAAGACAATGTTTCTTTAAGTTCCATTAGTCTTCCGGTAAATAATTGGATTGTTGACTAGGGAATTTTTAATCTTCCAATCACATTTAACAAAAGAAAAAACGCGAAAAAGCAAAAGAAAGAATATTCAAGCGACAAAGATTAGTGCAGGGAGGAAAGAGTTGGGTCCATTTACCATTGTTGTTAGTTCATGGCTGCAGATTCCTTAATGTTGTTATGTGGAAATTAATGGAAGGTACTGGAGTACCAGTGCGTGTCTTTCCTATTATTTACACGTACAGCTTCGTAATTCCCACCCAGAATCCAATGTAGATTTTAGTATTTTACTTTCCATCACATCTAAACAAGTTTTTAATCGTCTCTTTTTGCTATCTTCGTTTCAAGATGTGGATAATTCGCGTTTGAAATTGGACTCTGAAATTGCAAGTAGACTATTTATTATTCATCTGATATTATCTCGAGATTATATCTAAACAAAATCTTCTAGCGATCTATTCAATATATCCTGACCCTTTCACGAAATGTTCAAACTCGACTCAACTAGCAATTTATTATTCATCAGTTCGACTGAATTCTATCTAGCCCAGATACTATCTAGTCTGTTTGTGTTGTTTGACAATGTCATGTTATCTACCATTTGTTTTCACTTTCCGGTCATTCTCGATAATTATCTTTATATTGAAATCCTTTTTTTTTTTTTGTAGTATTCTGTTTTGTTTTTTGTTTTTTGTTTTTTGTGAAATGTACATCAGTGATTGGGAATTACTCATGTCGAAAAGTGCATGGGATTGCAAGTGTCTTTAAAAAACTTGAGGGTAAAAACCCCAAAAAGTAATAACAACACAAACAATGCGGTGATCTCCCCCCCCCCCCAAGTAAAAAAAATTACTTTTTTTTTTTTTTAACATCCAAAACAATTTTAATATGAAAAGACACAACTATCCCTCTTAAAATGGTGGTATGGGCATAATCTTTGGCGAGTTTTGGCAGTCGGCGGCTCCTCAAGTCAATTACCAAGGCCTCCTTTGCTTGTTGTTCCAAATGCAAATCATCAATTTTCTACCGATGAAAATACATCTAATTTTATGTGCATTTCTGCCAAGAGAGACAAAGAGACAACTCGTTACTTTTTGAAAAAAAAGAAAAAAAGAAAAAGAAAAACTCTCAAATTTGCAGAAGAGAATATATAAACGTCTTTACAATGGTAGGAAAATTAATTTGAAGCTTGTGAGAAATCTGCACATGTATGTTCCAAATTGCTTGTCTTTAGCAAAAGGTTTGGAATTTGGTGATTTTTTACTGTACCAAATACTGCAAACAATTTATTTAATTTTATCAACACCAAATTTATTGACTTCAATTGTGATTGAAACATGTAATCCTCCAAAGGGGAAAATAAAAAAAATTGTTCGTTTGTTTCTTAGATTGGAGAACAGGCAAACAATGGCTCTCGATGAGATGGGCGAATATCAGAATAAGCCAGTTTTTTCAAAAGTTTTGCCTCTTTTTCCTTGCGGGGGCAATCTGGTGGCGGTATGGTGGCAAGAAATGTAACGATGGTGGAAAGTGTTTGATATTTCTATGATGGATAATTATGTCATTTTATTTAAAAATTGTTTTGGATGCTAGTTTTTGTTTTGGCAAAATCGCTACTCTTTATTGTTTGAAAACTGAAATGAAACTAAGGAAATGTGTGTTTGTTCATAATATGACTAGATATTAATTTTCACTTGATGATGGATAATCTAAATTGCTTTCCTTATTGTTCTGCTTTTAGGTACACCATAATTAATTTTTTTGTAATATGTTAACTCCACAACTTGAGTGTGTTTGTGTGTGTGTGTGTATGTGGGATTTTCCCTTTTAATTTTGTTTGTGGTTGGGCGTCTAAGTGGTACATACAACTACTGCAAATTTCCAAAATATTCTTACTTTAGAGCCGAGACTGTTTGAAAAAGTTGGATAAAAAGAAAATTGAGACCGCAAAATTCAAACGTTCACAATACAAAAAACCAACCAACCAACCAACAAAAACCTTTTAAGCCAATAATATGGGAAACCATATTATTATACGGGGTATTACACTTTTGTTAACTTTGACGCATTTATGTTTGAAATCGGAGATATACTTTGACCAACTAGCAAAAGAATTCTATGCATACACTAATTAATTAATTTATCTACACACAAAAAAAAAAAAAAAAATTTAAAAAAATTTATTATGCGTAGTGGAATTAGCGGCCAACAACGTAAGTATATGTCGTGATTTCTGGAGATAGTGAGTGGTAATAACGAATCATAGTGATGTGTCGGTGCCTCCTCATCTTGGCAGTTAAGTTCGTTTGACACTCTCAAGTAACTGCCACGATTTCCCCTTATCTCCTGCCATTTCTGGGACCCAGTTCCAAATTCCGGTGGAAGACTAATTAATTTCTCTCATCCACACTTAAAAAAAATGACTTTATATATAAAAAAGAAAAAAAAAGACTTTTGTAATTCTATTTAGGATAACTTTTCTCATGTAAAAAAACTTTCTTGATAGCGGTGGTTTTGAAATGAGATATTAATTCGATTTACATCAAAGTCAAAAGTATCACGCACTTAATTGTATGGTAACTAGCTCACCTAAATAGATTTAAAAATTTTACTACTTTAAATACACCAGTGTAGGCCTTTGGTTTGGTTTTATTTCTTTGTTGTTTAGAATCTAAAATGCGAGTTAATTACGATTTCAAATTAATTGTTACAATCTTGATGAAATGTCTAGATTGATAATTGGGGTTTGTTGATGGAAGAATACTAGTAAATACAGTTGAAAGGCAGAAATATCAAGAGGAGTGGAGATCGAAGACTATG